TAAAAAAATAAAATCCCTCATGTGGCTCATTTTTGAGTTTATGTATTGACTCTTTCAAAGAGTTCTTCATAAATTTTTTATAGTAAACAATAATGATGTTATTAAATATTTTTTACTAATGGAATTACTGATTTTTGATCTCATATTACAATCATTATTTTATCATAAATGATTTTTAGTTTTAAACCTAAATACAAGCAATTAGCATAAAAGAATTATTATAAAACTAAGTAACTTAAATAAACTACAATTTTTACATTTTCATACACACCATGTAGAATTCAATCTAAACCAATTTAAAATACATTGTTGTTATTTTATTCTTTATTATTTTTTATCAATTTACTTCCCATTTAAAAGTTAAGATGTAATCACTTATTAATAAAATCTAATGATATAGTTCAAATAAAAATCACAACAAGATTTATGTAATTCATCTTGATATAAATATTTTAAACAAGAAATCTAAATTAATATTTTATTCATGAAGTCTACTCTCACTCTCTATAAATTTATCCTATAATATAACACTCTTCAAAGCAGGAGTTATTGTTGTAACATTATGAATATTTACCCTTACAAGTTTTGAAGTCTAATAATAAATTTCAATTTTTTCAGGGTACATTTAAAGTCTTTGATAAAATTGAAGTTATAATGAATATCCAATATTATAGTAAATTGTAGAATTTTACCAAACAAAAAGAGAAATTCACTGCTTGAACCCGAAACAATCATCATCCAAAAGCCAAAATTATAAATTTAACTGCAGCATTCTTCTAAATACTATTCAAATTTATAATAAATTAAAGTGCGATATTTTTTAAGGATACTCACTTCAAAAATATAAATACCCAAATAATAAAGAGGAAATTATTATCTATATATACTTCTTTAGTGGAGACACTGTAATCTTTGGTTGATAATTTAATATCAAAGCAATCAATAAAAGGTTAAATTAGATTAAATCTTTTTTACTTAATTAATAAAAGATAATTCAATATATTATTAAAAATTTTTATGATTTAAATAAGTTAACAACAATGATGTTTTTGGAAAGCACATGGTTTGAGAGAATTATTTTTATAGTTCCAGATATCTTCAATTAAGCACATGCTTGAACATCCATCATCTCCATCATCACATAATTCGTAATTATTATTAAGTCTACCATTGCCACATTAATTACCAACTGAGATTGATTTTATATTCCAAAAATCGAGTTGGGTTTTATTATTCTCCTAAGTAAATTAATTATCATCGTTAATATTTCCTTCTACACATTTTACAGTTTCATTATTTGAAATATTTAAATTATCACATTTTCGTAGAAACATTACCTATTTCCTAATTTATACATCCCCAATGAACATTGCAATTAAAATTAATAACATTCATCATAAGGATCATTATTTCCATTTCCACACTCCTCATTTTCTAAATAATGAAATCATTCATCACAAATTGGTAAGCATTATTTATTTTATAATTTAAAATTAACTTCCCATTATAAACAAGAATGCTAATCTGCACATTGTAAACAATGAGACTTAATTCATTATTAAAATTTCTTCCTCTTCTTAGCTTCCTTCCACTGCTTATGGTGATTCCTATATTTTCTGTTAACAGATAAGATAGCAATTTTTTAAAGTTTTATCCATTCTAGTCATCATCAATTCTAATGGAAATTCTTTAATTAGATGATAATTTATATAAAGGATTGCTCTCAAGCTAATTCCAAATTAACATAAAAACAATTTTATATGAAATCCAGCATTAGGCATGTTATTTCCTTCCTTTCATTATTCATAATTGGATATTCTTGAATCTCCAAACACTGGAATAAAAATTCTAAAAATACTTTATTATTTCTAAACATCTTAAAAATGCCAATATTCAACTTTAATTCAATTACTACAACTTTAAACAAAATCATAAATATTTAAAAAAAATTATTGAAGGCAAATAAATGTTAATCATTACAAAAAATAACTAGTTCCAAAAAAGAATTGAAAATCTCTTATTCTAAACTAAGAATTTTATTTCAATTATACATATACTTAAACTGATTAATAAATATGAGAGTATTTATGAATTTTTATATTCTTCATTTGCATAAATCCACATAATTCTTCAACATTATCAACATTTATAATTGAATCTTATATTTAAGCTACATTGATTCATTTGAAATATTCTGTGAAAATATAACTAAAATTATTTAATAGTTAAAGTTTATAGTATTATAAAAAGACACAAATGATATTTTTATTAATAAGTACTATTACACAAGCTAGTTTGATAAAAACATTCATTGAATTTTCATGAAATAATTCCTGAATTAAAATTTGAAAATTTCCAATTTACATAAAAATTCAAATTGCCAAGACAACAATTTATTCTATCTTTTTTACCCAAACTTCAGAAGAACTTATTGATGAAAAATTCTTAATTAAAAATAACTAAAAATACAAATATTCATCTAAACATTGATCTTTATTATATAAATAACATCCTGTCGGACAATATCTATTTATAATTCAAATTCAGAAATTCCCCAAATCTCTTTTAAAGTTAACATTAAAATAACACAGTTGTGCGAGAATGATCAATTATTGAATTTTATTCATAATTATTACCTATGCTTTCACATTAATAAGAAGGACTAATTGTATGTGAATATAATACTCCATGTATTATTAAATATCAACGTATAAATTAAAATATTTATTATTATATTAATCAATTCTAATTATTGTTAATTATTATCGTATTATTATAATTATTACTATATTACCTTATAAATTTAAACGAGAAGATTAATAAATAGTGACTATTAAGTTCAATTGTTTAACAAATTAAGTAATCTTAATCAATAAAGGAGCAAAGGAGCTTAAATATTTAATTTTACTAATTATTATTCACTATTTATTGAAGTGCTGATAAATAATTTTTGATGCTGAAGTCAAATTTAAAATTTCTGATAAAATTATTAATACTTCTAAACTTTTTAAGCTAAGTGCTTAATTTTTCATATGATTTTGAAGTTAGCATCAAGAATGATATCTATGACCATTATTTCTTCTGAATTTGTTTTTAATAATTGAAATCTATTAAAATTTTAGTTTAATTTGATTATTGAAAATATAAGTTTCATTAGATAATTAAATTAAAGAGTAATAAATTGATTATTATTACTCTTTTAATGAATCAAGAAATTTTTATCAAATTTCATTTTTTATTAACTAAAAGATATTAATGTGTATTAAAAATTAGAAATCAAAAATATTTAACATGAGTTTTTAATTTCAACTTAAAATAA